CTGAGAGTTCATTATCTAGGGTGATATCTAGCTAATGTGGTCTTGTGTCCTAGATTCAGGCTGTTGTCTGATATTGTTGGTTCTTTAACTGAAGGACTCCCTTTAATAATTCTTGTAAGTTTGGTTTGGTTTTTACATATTCCTTTAATTTCTGTTTATCTGGAAATGTCCTAATTTTGCCATCATATCTGAGCAAGTGTTGTCAGGTATATTACTTTTGGTTGGCAGTTTTTGTTTGTTTGTTTCAAGTTTTATATATGTCATCCCATTGTCTTCTTGCCTGCATCGTTTCTGCCACGTAATCAGAGCTTTGTTTTATTGTTTCCTCTCTGTATGTGACTTTTTATTTTTCTTAAGTTGCTCTCAGGATTCTTTCTTTGTCTTTGGTTTCAGCAGCTGTGATTATGAATATGTCTTGGTGATTTTCTTTTTGGGTCTATCCTATATGGGATTCATTGAGCTTCTTGGATGGTCAGCTTTTCGTCTTTATGATATTAAGGAAGTTTTCTGTCAGAATATCTTTAATGATCTTCTCTGTGTTTTCCATTTTCTCTCCTCTTCTGGAACTGCAATCAAATGCATATTTTTGCTTTTGATTGAATCCCCCATTGTTCTTAAGGTTTCTTCATTTTTCTTTGTTCTTTTCTTTGAGTTTTCCTCAAAGTGTTATCCAAAGATTTCTTTTCAATTTCTCTGATCCTGTCTTCCATTGTTTCAAATTTGCTCTTAAAACCTTCTATGATACAGTCCATTTCTGAAATCTTGTTGTTAATCTTTTGGATTTCTAATTGCTGTTTTTGTATGATTTCTAGTTGTTTATTTTGACTTCTTTTATGTATTATTTTATTGAAATCTTCCATTGTTTTGTTTGTCTTTTCCATGATTTTGTCTGTATTTTCCATGAATTTGTCTATTTTTTCCTTATTTTTTCTGTGTTTTCCTTCATCTCTTGGAGAGCCCTGACTCTTAGAGTTTTGACTTCTCTATCAGACAGTTCCAGTACCTTTTCTTCTATTAGAAGGTCATTGGGTGATTTATTTTAGATGCCTTCAGGAGCCATCCTATCCTGTATTTTTTGCATGTTTTGATAGTGTCTGCTTTTTTGGGGGCATTCAGGAATTATTTTCGTCATTTATTGCTTGTAGATTTGTTTTCTTCCTCCAGGAGGGCAGGGCTGGTTGCTCACCTATGGTGCAGAAAGGCAGGTTCAGAAAAGGAGGAGGGAAGAGGATGGGTCATTTGTAGCCAAGAAGGTCAGGGTGGGTGGTGGTGCAGGGTCAGCAGTCTCCCTAATGGGTTGCAGGTGGGTGTCTGGATTATATCTATACCTTTGGAAATATCTGCAAAAAAACCATACCCATAAGAAAATGAACTTCTTATCTTTCAACTCTGTCTTACTGCTTTGTCCTTAAAAAAGGGTTTGTAAGCACAATCTCTATTGTCTTGCTCTCAGTGGGGGTCAATTGAACCCCCCAGGAAACTGGAAGATGATGTGTGAACACTCTCATTCAGTGTGATTCTGGGCTGGAAGGAAGATATCTGTGGTAAGGATCTTGAGATCTCAAGAGATTCAGATCTGGGGAGTGACATGGCTCAGGTCAATGATGACACCTAAATTTGTCTTGAAGACAGATGATGACATAAAAATCATGCTCAATAGGATTATGCTGAGGCCTAGAGGGAAAATCCTTTTGCTAAACCTTATTAATTTTCTTTAAAATGGACCCCCATTTTGATTCATTTCACATCCAACAAGTGATCAAAAACACCTATCTGACTAATGATTGTCAGACTCATTCCTTAGCTATTTTCCTCTTGTTGTGTGATTTAGAAAGACCTACTGCCAAGAAATTAAACAATCCAAGGAGTCATGCTGAGTGATTCACTGAGGTTTTATCTAGTCATGTCTGACACTTAGACAAGTGAAGATGCAACCTAAAGGCAGATGGGGTTTGGGGATAAGCTGAGAGATGTCCCTTGGTTTTTTTTATGTTGACAAATTGACTAAATGGCAGTGATATTCATGGATGAATATTTAGGATCACAGGAACTTGGAACAATTAACACTAGAGTAATTTTTGATACCCTGGGTCCCTTTGCAATATATCATGTTGAACTGGAAGAAATGTGCAAGTAGACAAATGTGTTTTTCTAAAGTATTTATGGATGGTAATGGCTAGGAGCTCTGCCGCTAACACTGGTACCCTTCCCATAATTCAACTCCTGTGTCAGTTGCTGCTGCTGGACCCTTAGGTTCCACAGGGTGGTTTTCTCATGAGTCCTGGAATTGGATGAACGATTGAGTAGTCTGATACCTGATTCTCCCTTTAAAGAAAAGGTAGCTGCACAGATCTGCTTACAAAAGCTACTGTCAGGATTGATGCCAGTAGTTAAGAAAGATGTCAGGATCATGACTACTTTCAGGTCCACACCACAGAAAGTCATGATTGGTTAACTTTCTACACAGGGAATTCAGGCATAACTGCTTCCTTCTCCATGTGGAAAGAACATTGTTTTTGACAGTTTGTTGGAATCTTGTAAAGTTGTCATAAGACTCCTGCTTTGTGTATCCCTATGGATCCTCTGATGGTTGAAAGAAACGAGGAGATGGGTTCCCTCTGTTGTGATTATTTTGGCATGAGATGGAGTGGGTCTGTACATGGGTGAACTATGATGTCAAACAGTAATAGGACTACACAAGTTGCTAGAAGAAGTGTTGGCACAATTCTTGGAAAGGAATAGATTTGACAAGTGTCCTGCCAGCAGACTTGTACATCCTCAGTTTTTTTTGAAACTTGGGTGTCATTTCCTTGGAGATTCCACACACTGGACAATGACTGTGGATACAGACATGGCTTTCTTCAATAGATCAGCCAGAGCTAATCAATCAAAAAGCCTCTTCTTGCATAGAGCCTTCCGAGAATTGATTCTGCCACCAGAGACCTCTAGGGCTCATCCTTACGTTGCATGCTTCTTGCTTTCTGTCAAAGGTCAGCAGTCTCCTTACTGAGTGCATGTGGGTGTCTTGATTTTATCCATAGCTTTGGGAATATGTGGGAAAGACCATAGCCATAAGAAAATGAACCTTCACGTTGATCTCTGTCTTACTGCATTACCTTTGAAAAAGGGTATGTGAGATCGATCTCTGTTGTCCTGCTTTCATGGGGGTCAATCCAACCCACCCCCGGAAACTGGAAAGCGATGTGTGAACATTCTCATCCAGTGTGATTCCAGGCTGGCAGGAAGACATTTGTGGTAAGCTTCTTGAGGTCTCAGGCGATTTATACCTGGGGTGTGACATGGTTCGAGTCAATGATGACACCTAAACTTGTCTTGAAGACAGATGATGACATAAAAATCATGTTCAATAGGATTACACTGAGGCCCAGAGGGAACCTCCTTTTCCCCACCTTATTTATCTTGGTTAAAATCAACCCCATTTGGATTCCTTTCACCTCCACAAGTGATCAATAAGACATACCTGACTGATGATTGTCAGGCTCATTCCTTGGCTCTTTTCCTCTTTTTGTGTGATTTAGAAAGACTTGATGCCCAGAAATCCACCATTCCAAGGCATCAAGGTGAATGATTCAACGCAGTTTCATGTCCCCTCTGACACTCAGACAACTGAAACTGGAGGCCAAAGGCAGTTGGGGTTCAGGGATAAGTGTCCCTAGGTTTCTTTCATGGCCACGACTGGTTGACTAAGTGGCGGTGATATTCATAGGTGAATATTTAGGTTTCGCGTGAACTTGGAATAATTTCCACTTGAGTAAATTTTGAGGCTCGGGGTCTCAGTGCAACATGTCATATTGAACTGGGAGAAATGCACAGGTAGACAAATGTGTTTTTCCAGAATATTTATGAAATGGGAATCGCTAGAGGATCTACCAGTGACACTGGTAACTTCCACTAATTTATAGTCTGTGTCACTTGCCCATGGACCCTTAGGTTCTGCAGGGTGGTTCTCCCAAGAATCTTGGAAATGGATGAACGATTGAGTAGTCTGCTACCTCGTTCTCCCTTTAAAGAAAAGGTAGCTGTGCAGATCTCCATAAAACACTGTCTTCAGAGTCGATGTCAGTGGGTAAGAAGGGTGTCAGGGTCTTGACTACTTTCAGGTCCATGCCACAGAAAGTCATGATTGGCTTACTCTTCACACAGGGAATTCAGGCATAATTGTAGCCTTCCACACTTGGAAAGGTCATTGTTCTTGACAATTTCTGGGAAGCTTGTAGAACTGTGATAAGACTCCTGCTCTTTTCGTACCTCTAGGGATCCCCTGATGGTTGAAAAACAGGAAGAGATAGGTTCTGTCTGTTGTGGTTATTTTGGCACAAGGAGGATTGGGTCTGTTCATGGGTGTCTGTGTCATCAAACTTTAATGGGACTATGAACTTTTTTAGCGGAAGTGTTGGCACAATTCTCAGAAAGGAATAGATTTGACGAGTGTCCTGTCAGCGGACTTATAGATCTCTAGTATTTCAGGAAACTTGGGTGTCATTTCCTGGGAGATTCCATTCACTGGACAATGTCTGTGGATATGGTCATGGCTTTCTTCAATAGATCAGCCAGGGTTAAACATCAAAAGGCATTTTCTTGGGCGAAACCCTCCGAGAATTGGTTGTGCGACCAGAGACCTCTAGGGCTCCTCCTTACGTTGCATGCTTCTTGCTTTCCATCAAGGGTCAGCAGTGTCTCTACTGGTTTGCATGTGGGTGTCTCGATTTTCTCCATAGCTTTGGAAATATGTGGGAAAGACCATAGCCATAAGAAAATGAACTTCTCCTCGTTGATCTTGTCTTCCTGCTTTGTCCTTGAAAAGGGTTTGTGAGGTCCATCTCTGTTGTCCTGCTTTCATGGATGTCAATTCGAACCCCGGAAACTGGAAGACGATGTGTTAATGTTCTCATCCAATGTGCATATGGGCTGACAGGAAGACATCCGTGGTAAACATCTTGATGTCTCAGGGGATATATACCTGGGGAGTGACATGGCTCCGGTCACTAATGACACCTAAAGTTTTCTTGAAGACAGATGATGACATAAAAATTATGCGCAATAGGATTATGCTCAGGCCCAGGGGAACCTCCTTTGGCCACACCTTCTTTATCTTGGTTAAAGTGGACCTCCGTTTGAATTCCTTTCACCTCCACAAGTGATCAATAAGACATACCTGACTGATGATTGTTAGGCTCATTTCTTGGCTCTTTTCGTGTGATTTAGAAAGACTTGCTGCCCAGAAATCCACCATTCCAAGGCATCAAGGTGAATGATTCAATGCAGTTTCACGTCGTCCCCTCTGACACTCGGACAACTGAAACTGGAGGCCAAAGGCAGTTGGGTTTCAGGGATAAGCTGAGACGTGCCCATGACTGATTGACTAAGTGGCGGTGATATTCATAGGTGAATACTTAGGTTTCACATGAACTTGGAATAATTTCCACTGGAGTAATTTTCAAGATCCTGGGTCCTAGTGTGACATGTAGTACTGAACTGGGAGAAACGCACAAGTAGACAAATGTGTTTTTCCAAACTACTTATGGAATGGGAATAGCTAGAGGCTCTACCAGCGACACAGATAACTTCCTGTAATTTAAAGTCTGTGGTACTTGCCGCTGGAGCTTTACGTTCTGCAGGGCGGTTCTCCCAAGAATCTTGGAATTGGATGAACGATTGAATAGTCTGCTACCTCCTTCTCCCTTTAAAGAGAAGGTAGCTGCACAGATCTGCATACAAAAGCCACCTTCAGTGTCAATGCCAGTGGGTAAGAAGGGTGTCAGGGTCTTGACTACTTTCAGGTCCATGCCACAGAAAGTCATGATAGGCTTACTCTCCACACAGGGAATTCAGGCATAACTGCTGCCTTCTACACGTGGAAAGTTCACTGTTCTTGAGAGTTCATTGAAAGTCTGTAGAGTAGTCATGAGACTCTTGCTCTGTGTGTATCCCTCAGGAGCTTCTGATGGTTGGAAAACAGGAGGAGCTGGGTTCTCTCTGTTGTGATTATTTTGGCATGATGAGGATTGGGTCTGTACATGGGTGAAGTGTGACATCAAACTTTAATGAGAGTATGGAAGTTTCTAGAAGATGTTTTGGCCCAATTCGTGGAAAGGAATCGATTTGACAAGAGTCCTGCCAGTGGACTTGTAGACCCCAGTTTTACAGAAAACTTGGGTGTCATTTCCTGAGAGATTGCATGCCCTGGACAATGCCAGCGTTATAGATATGGCTTTCTTCAATAGATCAACTAGGGCTAATTAATCAAAAAGCCTCTTCTTGCATGAAAACTACTGAAAATTGGTAGTGCGACCACAGACCTCACAGGGTCGTCCTTAGAGAGCATGCTTTCTGTCAAGGGTCAGTGTTCTCCCTACTGGGTTGCATGTGGGTGTCTTGATTTTATCCATAGCTTTGTGAATATGTGGGAAAGACCACAGATATAAGAAAATGGACTTCTCGTTGATCTCTGTCTTACTGCTTTGTCCTTGAAAAAGGGTTTGTGAGGTCAATCTCTGTTGTCCTGCTTTCATAAGGGTCAATTCAAAACCCCTGGAAATGATAAGGTGATGTGTGAACACTCTCATCCAGTGTAATTCCGCGCTGGAAGAAGACATCGGTAGTAAGCCTTGTGAGGTCTCAGGGGATTTATACCTGGGGAATGACATAGCTTGTGTCAGTGATGACACCTAAAGTTGTCTTCAAGACAGATGATGACATAAAAGTCATACTCAATAGGGTTACGCTGAGACCCTGAGGGCACCTCCCTTTGCCCAACCTTATTTATCTTGGTTAAAGATGACCTCCATTTGGATTCCTTACACCTCCAGAAGTGACAAAAAACACCTTACTGACTGATGATTGTCAGGCTAATTCCTTGGCTCTTTTCCTCTTTTTTTGTGATTTAGAAAGATCTGCTGCACAGAAATTCGCCATTCCAAGGCATCAATATGAGTGAATCAATGTGATTTCACCTGATCCCCTACTACACTTGGACACCAGAAATTGTGGCCCAAAGGCATTTGGAGTTTCAGAATAAGCTGAGAACTGTCCCATGGTTTTCTTCTTGACCACAACTTGTTAACTAAGTGGCATGATATTCATGTTTAATATGGAGAATTCACATGAACTTGGATCAATTTCAGGTTGAGTAACTTTCGAGGCCATCAGTCCCACTGCAACATATCATAATGAACTGAGAGAAATGCACAAGTAGAGAATATGTTTTTCTAAAACATTTGTGGAATGGGAATAGCTAGAAACTCTACCGGCAACACTGGTAACTCCCTCTAATTTAAGGTCTGTGTCACTTGCTGCAGGACTTTAGGTTCTGCAGGGTGGTTTTCTGATGAATCTTGGAACTGAATGAACGATTGAGTAGTCTGATACCTGGTTCTCCCTTTAAAGAAAAGGTAGCTGCACAGATCTGCATATAAAAGTGACCTTCAGGGTCCATGCCAGTGGGTAAGAAGGGTGTCAGGGTCTTGACTACTTTCAGGTCCGTGCCGCAGAACGTCATGATCGGCTTCTTCTCCTCACAGGGAATTCGGGCATAATTTCTGCCTTTCACATTTGGGAAGATCATTGTTCTTGACAGTTGTTTGGAAGCCTGTAGAGTTGTCGTAAGACTCCGGTCTGTGTGTATCCATTGGGATCCTCTGATGATAGGAAAACAGGAAGAGATGGGTTCTATCTATTGTGATTATTCTGGCATGAAGAGGATTCGGTCTGTCCATGGGTGAATTCTGACATTAAACAGTAATGGGACTATGGAAGTTTCTAGAAGATGTGTTGGCACAATTCTTGGAAAGGAATAGATTTGATTAGTGTCCCGCCAGTAGATTGTCGATCCTCAGGTTTGCAGGATACTTTGGTATCATTTCTTCAGAGATTGTATGCCCTGGACAATTCCTGTGGATACAGACATGGCTTTCTTCAATAGATCAGCCAGAGCAAATCAACTGAAAATCCTCTTCTTGCCTGGAAGACCCTGAAAATTCTTTGTGTGACCAGAGAACTCCAGGGCTCATCCTTACATTGTGTGTTTCTTGCTTTTTGTCAAGAGTCAGCATTCTCCCTACTGGGTTGCATGTGGGTGTCTTGATTTTATCCATAGCTTTGTGAATATGTGGGAAAGGCCATAGCCATAAGGAAATGAACTTCTCGTTGATCTCTGTTTTACTGTTTTGTCCTTGAAACAGGGTTTCTGAGGTCGATCTCCGTTGTCTTGCTTTCTTGGGGGTCAATCCAACCCTCCCCACCGGAAACTGGAAGAGGATGTGTGAACACTCTCATCCAGTGTGATTCTGGATTGGCACGAAGACATCTGTGGTAAGCCTCTTGAGATCTCAGGGGATTTATACCTGGCGAGCGACATGGCTTGGGTCAGTGATGCATGTAAACTTGTCTTGAAGACAGATGATGACGTAAAAATCATGCTCAATAGGATTATGCTGAGGTCCAGAAAAAAACTTCTTTTGCTCAAACTTATTTATCTTGGTAAAAGTGGACCCCCATTTGGATGACTCTCACTCTACAAGTGATCAAAACACCTAACGGACTGTGGATTGGCGGGCTCATTCCTTGCCTTTTGCCTCATTTTTGTAACTTAGAAAGACCTGCTGCCCAGAAACTCGCCATTCCAAGGCATCAAGGGGAGTGATTCACGTGGTTTCACCTGATACCCTACTACACTTGGACAACAGAAATGGTGGCCCAAACGCATTTGGGATTTCAGAATAAGCTGAGACGTGTCCCCTGGCTTTCTTCTTGACCACAACTGGTTGAATAATTGGCGGTAATATTCCTGGTGAATTTTAAGAATTCCTAGGAACTTGGAACAATTTCCACTTGAGTAATGTTCAAGACCCTCGGTCCCAATAAGACATGTCATGTTGAACGGGGAGAAATGCACAAGTAGACAAACGTGTTTTTCTAAAATATTTATAGAATGGCAATCGGTAGGGGCTCTACTGGCGACCCTGGTAACTACTTCTAATTTAAAGTCTGTGTCAATTGCCGCTGGACGCTTAGGTTCCACAGGATGATTTTTCCCATGAATTTTGTAATTGAATGAACGAATGAGTAGTCTGATAGCTGGTTCTCCCTTTAAAGAAAAGGTAGCTGCGCCGATCTGCATCCAAAAGCGACCTTCAGGGTTGATGTCAATGGTTAAGAAAGGTGGCCTTGACTGCTTTCAGGTGCATACCACAGAAATTCATGATCACCTTAATCTCCTTAGAGGGAATTTTGGCATAACTGCTGCCTTCCACGTGTGGCAAGATCATTGTTCTTGACAATTGGTTGAAAGCCTGTAGAGTTGTCATAAGACTGGTGCTCTGTGTTGTATCCCTAGAGTTCCACTGATGAATGGAAAACAGAGGTAGATGGGTTCCCTCTATTGTGATTTTCTTGGCATGAGGTGGATTGGATCTCTCCATGGGTGAACTGTGACATCCAACAGTAATGGGACTATGGCAGTTTCTAGAAGAAGTGTTGGCACAATCCTTGGAAAGGAATAGATTTGATGAGTGTTCTGCCAGCAGACTTGTAGATCCCCAGATTTGCTAGAAACTTGGTTGTAATTTCCTGGGAGATTCCATGCACTGGACAATGCCTGTGGATATGGTCACAGCTTTCTTAAATAGATATCCAGGGCTAAAAAATGGAAAAGCATCTTCTTGGGCAAAACTCCGTGAGAATTGGCTGTGTGACCAGAGACGTCTAGGGCTCCTCCTTACGTTGCATGCTTCTTGCTTTCTGTCAATGGTCAGCAGTGTCTCTACTGGGCTGCAAGTGGGTGTCTCGATTTTACCCACAGCTTTGGGAATATGTGGGAAAGACCAGAGCCATAAGAAAATGAACTTCTCCTCGTTGATCTCTGTCTTACAGCTTTGTCCTTGCAAAACGGTTTCTGGTGAGGTCGATCTCTGTTGTCTTGCTTTCATAGGGGTCAAACCAACAACACTGGAAACTGGAAAATATGTGTGAACACTCATGCGGTGTGATTTGGGGTGTCAGGAAGAGATAAGTGGTAAGCTTCTTGAGGTCTCAGGCGATTTATACCTGGGGAGTGACATAGCTCTGGTCAAAGATGACACCTATACTTGTCTTGAAGACAGATGATGACATAAAAATCATGCTTAACAGGAATACGCTGAGGCTCAGAGGAAACCTCCATCTGCCCAACCTCATTTATCTTGGTCCAAGTGTACCCCCATTTGGATGCCTTGCAGCTCCACAAGTGATCAAAACCCCTAAGTGACTGATGATTGTCAGGCTCATTCCTTCGCTCTTTTCCTCTTTTTTTGATGGAGAAAGACCTGCTGCCCAGAAATTCACCATTTCAAGGTATCAAGGTGAGTGATTTAATGTGTTTTTTTCTGAACCTCTACTACCCTTGGAGAATAGCAATTGTGGCCCAAAGGCATTTGGGGTTTCAGAATAAGCTTAAAGAATCCCAGGGTTTTCTTCTTGACCATCACTTGACTAAGTGGCGGTGATATTCATGGTGAATATTGAGAATTCGCAGAACTTTGAACAATTTCCATTTGACTAATATTCAAGACCCTGGGTGCCAGGGTTACATGTCATACCGATTGGGGAGAAATCCACAAGTAGACGAATGTGTTTTTCTAAAATATTTATGGAATGGCAATCGCTAGAGACTCTACTGGTGACCCTGGTAACTTCCTCTAATTGAAAGTCTGTATCAATTGCCGCTGGACACTTTAGTTCCACAGTTAGGTTTCCCCAGGAATTTTGGAAGTGAATGAACTTAATGAGTAGTCTGATATCTGGTTGTCCCTTTAAGGAAAAGGTAGCTGCACAGATCTGTATACAAAAGCGACTTCCGGGGTGAAAGAAAGTGATTAAGAAAGATGTGAGGGTCTTGACTGCTTTCAGCTCCATGCCACAGAAATCCATGATCACCTTACTCTCAAACAGGGAATTCAGGCATAACTGCTGCCTTCCACGTGTGGCAAGATCATTGTTCCTGACAGTTGATTGGAAGCATGTAGATTTCTCATAAGACTCATGCTCTGTGTTGTATCCCTAGGGATCCTCTGAAGGTTGGAAAACAGGAGGAAATGGATTTCCTCTATTGTGATTTGGTTGACATGAGTTAGATTGGATCTGGCAATGGGCGAAGTGTGCCATCCAATAGTAATGAGAGCAGGGAAGTTTCTAGAAGTAGTGTTGGCACAATCCTTCCAAAGGAGTAGATTTCATGAGTGTCCTGCCAGCGGACTTGTAGATCGCGAGTTTGCAGGAAACTTGGGTTTCATTTCCTGGGAGAGTCCATGCACTGGACAATTCCTGTGGATATGGACATGGCTTTCTTCAA